ATGACGTTGCGACAAAAATTATAGGTTAGAATATTAACGTGTATGAGATTCACATTAATTACCAAAAAATGATCTTCAAATGTAGGTTTCTTTTCTCTCCGTTTTTACAATACTTATGTATTTTTCTTTGTTGTATTTCTAAAACAAAATCGAAGCACAAGCATTCACACGCTTCTGCTGCATGATTTAATCCTTTCAAAACTATCATAGGAATTACCAAAAACAGTGTGTATAATGGCAAGAGACGCCACATACGTATAAGAAATGGAGCTGTGAAGCAGTTGCTGAAAGATGAAATTATATCCTTGGAGTATGTGAGGTCCGAGAGGAACTTGACGGATCCTCTCACCAAAGGCCAAACAAGGAGAGTGATTTTGGAGTCCTCAAGATGTATGGGACTCAAGCCATGATGCTCAATCCATAGTCCTTCTTTTGGGTCGTCCATGTATAGACTTGATGGATGTAGTGAAGTATATGTGAATCCATAGCCATTCTTTTGGTGATCCATGGATGGACTTGATGGATACGGTGAAACATGTGAATCCATAGCCCTTTTTGGGTGGTCCATGCGTGGACTTGATGGATAATATTCAAAGTCTTCATATAGCTCAGTTTTTTAGTGGTTTATCTATGATAGACTTGATAAAGCGACAATGTGACTGTGAAGGTGAGGTCGCCTTCTATGAAAGAGTTGTGGAGCCTCTTTCTAGAGCTTTCACGATGACCCATGGTGTATGTACATAGCCATTAAAAACCTTTGACAACTATCACGGAATCAAAATCGAGTATTCAAACATGTTGTGGGGGTCTCAACTCTAAACACTGAAAGTTCGAGAGGTAACTCACTTTCATTGTTTAGGTTGCTGTCCTACTTCACTATGCATGAATCCAAATCGAAAGATATTAATGCTTAAGTTTTTATCCTTTGCTCAGAAATTTTATCCTTCTTCTTACTTCTTTTTACTATGTTGTCATTCGTAGGGGATTATTGGGAATGACAATTGAATTGAAGAAATTCAAGGATACGTGACTGATTTAACGTAACTTGTGGAAGTCAAAAGAGAAGGAAATGACCAAAGGACACGTGGGTGGCCCAAATTTTTTCTAGATTTTTTATTTTTTAAAATTCAAATTCTATTTTGGGTCACTCCCTTAATATAAATAAGAGTCATTCCCTGCCAAATCAAATCATTCCAATTCATCCCATTTCTCTCATATTATATCTCTCTATTCCACTGTTTTCCATCTTTCAACTACCTTAAACTGATCACGAGATTGATTCCACTCCCATTCCGACGAGTGCAAGTCCAAGTTGGAGGTCGTGTTAACCTTGGGGAGCATACCGACAGTATAGCACCGAGGTCGTGCCGATTTTGCTTTCAAGGCAATGGTTCTACCCACGACATAACGTTTTTAGCTCCTGGTTCCAATCTTGGCCCTTTCCAACCTAGAGAAAAATAAATTAGAAAGAGAAAGAAAAGTTACATAGGCAAAATTTGAGAGAGAAAAGTTCGAGACAATATTAAATTTTTAGAGAGAAAAATGAGAGTGATATGTTAGAACAAAAATAAAGAAAAAGAAGTATATAGAAACGAAAATTTTTTAGAGAGAAATAACAGTAAACAACCCAGAAATGAAAATTGTGAAGAGAGTAAGATTAATTTCTTTCAATTTCTTACCGAAAGAAATTTAAGCAGAAAATATTTTAAAATAAGAAAGAAATTTGCTAGAGAGAAATATACCAAAGAAAGAGTATTAGTAAAAAGCTAATGTATTTATATTATTATCTTATTAACATATTTAAAGGTATTGTATTTAAAAAAAAAAAGTAGATATAATTATTTATTTATTTTAATTTTGCAAATTGACGTTATGTATCTACAAATTGGAAGTACTTATTGTAATTTGTCATTTACATACTATAAAACAAAGTTTTTTTTTTTTGGATTTTTTTTTTCCCAGAATTACTATGAAACAAAAGTAGATAATGAATCTCACATTCCTTATATTAATTCAAACACATGTTATGGATGAAAAAATTAGTAATTACAAGAATAAGTTATATATTAATCATTTTTAATACATATACACGAGCAGTCTTTCAATAACATTAAATCATATTTTGATAAACTAACACGAGTTGTTCTAGTGCCAAAAAGAATTGAGAAAGGAAATTAGGGTGTTCGGAGGTGATGGTTCAAAATTCACCATCGTTATGTCCAGGACTCAATTACTTATCAAAATCTGAAATAAAAATACACATAATTCATTCGATTAATAGAAATCTGAACACAAAAGATTCAATAAAAATCTTAGTCCTATTACATAAGTATTTATAATTATCAGAATTGGAAATAAAAGTATCCATCCTTCATCCCACTGACAGAAATCTGAAAGTAAGAGATTCAATCAAAAATCAGAGTCATATTACATCAATATTTTTTAATACGTGCTTGTAGTAGATTTGAAAATCGAATTTCAATTTAAAATTTGTTCTAGTAGGAGTTACCAACTAAATATTTGGTCGAATCTACAATATTATTAATTAATTAATTAATATATATTTTATAAATTTTATTTAATTATTATTTTACAATATTACATAATTTATAATATATTATGTTTTACCTATCTTAATTTTGACAAAAAAATAATAACATATTTATCAAAGTTTTTACTTTTTTTTAATATAATTCTGCCTTTCAAAATTTATAATTTAAAATCTGAAAACATTAAAAAGTGAGTTGTTTTTAGAATTTTGAGTATTTGGACAGAGTATCCAAAAACAATTTTCTGAAAATAAATCAGTCAAACATATATATGTTTTCAGTAAATTTGGAAACAAGAAATGGAATCAATTTTCTACGAATCAGGTACTAATTATCCACAAACTAAAAAAAAAGAAAAAAGAAAACTTTTTAATTAATTTTTTTATCCATGTTGAGTTGGTAATAGAGAACCGACAGTGAGAAGATTTGAGTTCTGTTTTATTGGCGTCTTGTCTGTGACATAAGAAAAATGAAAGTGGCTTTGGATATTAAACACATTATTCAATGAAAAGATCTCTCGTTGCCTTTATATAGTCGAGTGGATTGGGCTCTGAGCCTAAATAAGCCATTTTTTTGCGCTACTTTTCCTCTTTGGCTCGATATAGAGATCCATTATTTGTGCATATCTTTTTTTTCCCTTCTAACTCGAGTGTTATTTTGGTTCTTATGTTTCAAAATTGTGCAATTTTGGTCTATAAATTTCTTAAATAAGTTTAAAAATGACGCTGTCATTAAGTATCCCACGAAAAATATATGATTTTGACTACTGATGACATGATATATTCGAGTTGGATTATGCCCATTGCGTAACGCAGTCTAACATAAACTATAATGTGTCCATGTAGAATAATGTAACACATTTGTCAATCTACGCAAATGACTTATACATGATATTCCGTTTTTTATTTCTTTTTTCCTACAAAGCTCATGATATCACATGCTTCTTTTTTATGCATGCATGGATCTGCATTAGTTCTTGAGCAAGGAACTCAACAATCAGCAAATCAACCATGGATCACAGGTCAAAGAGAAGAGGCAGATCGAAAAGGAAAGAAGATAGTCTTGGGGGAACAAACCAGAACAGTGAATTCAATGTCTTGTCTGACAAGCCAAAGACACCCATCGCTAGTACATACATAAGCGAATTAGGGATTGACTACTTTATACATTTATCTACACAAAAGAAGGGTCATCAAGTTGAATTATGGTTCTTTTCTGGTGAAGTCTTACTTCTTGTAATATATTTAATGTGTATATGATCATGGTCCCATTTATTAGATCGCACGGTTGAATATTCACAAAACTAAGAGTATATTTCAACTCGGCTATGTCATGTCAGTCCAATCATATATATTTTGGTGAGATATCTAATAATGGCGTTAGCTGAAGGGCCATTTAATGATTTAAATTTATATCTAAAACATACCCAACTAAATTGATCTCACAGGTTAAAACTCAAGGACGACCAAAGAGTACTTTTTCAAAATAATAATAATAATAAAAATAATAAAACCTTTGTCAAGCCAAAAAAACAATCGAATTTTAGAATAGGTGGTAATTGACATTATCATATTTGCAAAACATAACATTAGTAAATATGGCAAAATTTTTAATTCAACTTAATTCTGTTTTTACTCTCACCAATTGCTATAATTTCTTCCTTTATTATATTTTTGAAATTTTTTATAGAAGGCCGGGGACTTTTAATAGTATGGACCTATTAGAATTTTCGAAAAATGCTATAAAAAGTCTATTATATAACTTTTTGTGAGTGAGATGTCTATTGGTACATAAGTGAGGATGTCTATCAGTGGCTTAAGACGTCACGGATGGAAGAAACTACCACCATTTCATTTAAATATGCAATGATAAAACTAACCACCCACAGTTGAATTTTTTTTAACATTGTGCTACTAGAATGGACACAATCATTCCATTCTTAAATGTTGTACAACAATATGAAAATTTATTTTTTTACCCTATACAAATAACTAGTCCCATTTAATCCAAATATAACATAATAGGATAAGACACATATTAGTTACCTTTTTCAGATTAAATGGTGAATCTTCCCCTCTATGTGTGTATATATAGGAATCCTCTACTCCATATTTATTGGTAGAAGCAAAATATCTTAAGAATTATGTATGTTCACATTGTCAGTCACAAAATAACTTTATCCAATTACCGTAAGAAACGCATCAATCAATACTCGCAAAAATAACCTTATTCAACTACCGTAAGAAACGCCTCAATCAATACTTGCAAAATAACCTTATCCCACCGCAAAAGCTCTCCTGATTATCCATCTTAAAAGAAAGATTTCTTATCAAGTGAGAGTGTTAATTTTTATAGTTTGGATTAGGGAAGGACCATAGGTAGAATTGAAATTGACTTTAAAGCTTAAAACAATCCCAAAAAGGCAAAAAAAAAAAAAAAGGAAAAAATGAAAAAGTGTGAGGATTGGGTGGCTAGAGCTGGCATGGCAACGCAACCCTGAGCTCGGCTTCGGGTGTGAAAATGGTGGGGTCTCGATCTCTCTCTCTTCCATGTTTCCTCAAGTTTCTCTTCTATGGCTTCTCTCTCTCTCTCTTAGGGTCAAACCCTCCTCTCTCTTTCTCTTGACAGATTTTCTCTCTCTCTCTCTCTCTCTTCTCCTCTTTTGGTTGTTTGGAAGCTCCTGTTACTTCCCCCAATTGCGACCCTTCTTCCCTTCTTCCTCAATACGCAGCCATCGCACTATTCTACTCATATCCTTCATGGGTGAGAAGCAGCTACCCTGTAATGGAGTCCACTTTGGTCAACCAGCCCACTTCCACGCCTCCCTGGATTGTTCTTCCCGGAATTAGCGCTCCCGACACAAACCCATCTCGAATTTTTTAATGTGCTTGCGTGATCACGATTGGGTCGCACCCGTTGGAGGTTTGATTCTCCGGCTGAAATTGTTGTTTGCATATGTTGCCTTGTGGAAATCGTTGTTGTGATTTTAGTCCATTTGGGTTGTCAATCGTGTTTAGTTTCTTTTCTTCTCAGGGATTGATTTGTAGATCAGATGGCGGATAGTTGGGATGGAAGTTATGACGACTCTGGAAGCGTGTCGGATGAGAGCAGTTACTATGCGAGGCAGCATATTGAGCCTATTTACGACTCGTTTCTGTGCCCTTTAACGAAGCAAGTAATGCGGGATCCTGTTACTATAGAAAGTGGGCAAACTTTTGAACGTGCGGCGATTGAGAAATGGTTTGACGAATGCAGGGAGAGTAGAAGGAGGCCAATCTGTCCAATGACGCTAAAGAAATTGAGTAGCACGGATCTAAATCCCAGTATTGCTCTGCGGAATACGATTGAAGAGTGGACTGCTAGGAATGAAGCTGTTCAGCTTGATATGGCTCGTAAGTCACTCAACTTGGGGAGTGCAGAAAATGAAACTTTGGGCTCTTTGAAATATGTGCAGCATGTGTGCAAGAAGGATCTGTCGAAGCACATTGCACGGAATGCTGGGCTAATACCTATGATTGTTAGCTTGTTGAAGAGCACCAGTCGAAAAGTTCAGTTTAGAGCTTTGGAAACTCTTCGAATTGTGGTGCAAGAAGACAACGAGTGTAAGGTTGTCATTTGCGGAAAAACACGATTTCATTTGCGTGTCGAACACAGTTATGCTTTTGGACTTTTTTGTGAACCATTTCTTTCACTTTGCAGGAAATATTAGCTGAGGGGGACACTGTTCACACAGTAGTGAAGTTCTTGCGTCTTGAGCGTTCGAAAGAGAAGGAGGAAGCTGTAGCTTTGCTGTATGAGCTTTCCAAGTCTGAAGCCTTGTGTGAAAAGATCGGTTCAATTAATGGGGCTATTCTTATATTAGTTGGAATGTCAGGCAGCAAATCTGAGAATCTCTCCACAATTGAAAATGCTGATAGAACATTAGAGAATCTAGAGAAGTGTGAGAATAATATTCGACAAATGGCTGAATACGGTAGATTGAGGCCTCTTCTAACACAGATTCTTGAAGGTGCGTACATGATCTTCAGTAATAGATTTTTTAGAAGCAAACATTAGTTATCATTGCTCGAATGGAGAAGAAGGTTGAATTCACCTAAAAAAGTATTTTGCCATGTTTTCTATTCAACACTTCCACAAATTTTTAATGAAGAAGAGTTGCATAAATACTCCCCAAGCCCTGTCCTACAGCATGCTGCTTGTGTTCTCAGTTCTTTTTGAAAGATAGCATGCGAAACCTATACTGAAGTATGTTAGTGCTGCTTATCTGCTGGACATTCTCACACTTGCCGCCTTAGGGAAGTGTCGRTGCTTCCTAGACCAACAAATGCAGTACTTCACCTTTGCCTCTTATACTGTTCTTGATTCCCAAATGACAATAACTTCTTAGTACCTCCTAAGAAAATATACACTCTATTCTGTGCAAAATATTGGTGTTACTTGTTAGATATGTGTCCTACAGAGACAGACACATTGGACATGTGATACGTAATTTATTTTTTCCTTCTCTTTTTTGGATATGAAACAAAAGGTGTATCCGAAGTGTGCGTAAGCTGGTCTGGACACTCACGGATATTAAAAAAAAAAGAAAAGAAAAATAGCCTAAAGGCGGGGGAGATCCCCTCCCAAGAGAACTAGTAAAGAGTAGCCTTCCAATCTTGAACAATCATGCCTAGACTGTAGTTACAAAAAAAATTTCTGTCCGACACCATAAAGAAGCATTAAGTTGTACACTATTACAAAAAAATTGTTGTGTGGAGGGTTTGGTGTGGAAAACACTTCGATTTCTTTCCACCATAAGAGTGCTCTGGCAGCACGACCCCACAAAATTTTAGCTTTCTCCTTTATAAAATCGCACCTCTAAACACTTCCAGCAGCCACCCATCAATCCTCTCAGGTAGACAATGGGAAAGGCCAATTTCTTTGATCAGAAACATCCAACTACTGAAAGCAAGGACAGTGAAGAAAAAGTTGTTCCGGACTTTCCTCATGCCTTAAACAAATGCAGCAAGCTAATGGAGAGATGGACCAGTTGGAGAGCTTCCTTTGAAGCTTTTTGTGGGCAGGCCTTAAACAAATGCAGCAAGCTAATGGAGAGATGGACCAGTTGGAGAGCTTCCTTTGAAGCTTTTTGTGGGCAGGGCTCCAAAGGAAAACTTTGACCTTCTTTGGATTGTTGAACTTCCAGATGGAATTAATCAAGGGGCTTGCAATTTTCTTATCCAAAAAAAAATCAAGGGGCTTGCAATTTGAAATTAATTTCAAGAAAGCTGACTTCGTAGTGAAGGTATTTGACTTTCTAGGGTCCATTCCACCCTATCTTCTTCATTAACATGCTGGAAATTGTCAAGTTTATTCACTAAGCCCAACCAACTGTGCCATTATCTATCCAAAATGCGTCTTCTAAAACCCAAATTCCATGTGCAATGTTCTTCTATCCAGCAATCAGCTACCAAAGCTTTTTTTAATTTTTTATTAGAAAGGGTATATAAATCCGGGTACAGCAACTCCAAAGAAGAGGAACCCAGCCAAGGATCCTTCCAAAATCTGATTTTCCTACCATTTTTCGCCTTGTAAGTAATAAGATTGAAGCACGAGGAGCAATTGGCAGCGACAGCGATATCCACCTAGGGTCTGCCAACGCCTTTTCCTTTAGGAGGGAGGGTGGACCAACCGCTAGGCTCTTGCCTGATGCTTGTGATTACTCTTTTCAACAGGGTGTCTTTCTCTTGTGTAAACCGCCACAGCCACTTTTGTAAAGGTGAAACATTTCTTTGGTTAAAAGATCCCACTCCTAACCTCCCATACTTCATTGGTAGGTATATCTATTCTTTCTCAATTTTGTGTATTTTGATTTTAGACACATATGGACTGCACAAGGCTTGTTTAGTGGAGACAGAGAATAACCATATACCTGGAAAGTGGAGTTTAAGAGACCAATTGAAGAAAGTTCCTAAGGAAGTCGGGAATTGGAATAATTTGTGCCTGTCCATGGGTGCTCTAACTTGATCTACCTCAGTCTAAGAAAGCTCGACAACTTAATTTATGTCAAGTGTTGATGTACTTATTGAGAGAGAAATAAGAAAGTGGGGGAAGTAGTAATTTCATTCATTAGTGCTCCATATAAATACATACTATGATGCTAAAAATAAACATAACTATCTCCACATAATTAGCTACTCAACTAACCCATAATAATAGCAACTTAGACTTGACTACAACCAAAAGAGGAATATCAACAACTTCCTAAAAACTAGGTCTTTGACCAAACGAATTCAAAACTAACATTCAAACTTTGTATTTGTAGCTTTGAGTTAACTAACATTCTCCTTCTGACTCAAATGCTACAAACACCTTCAAATTGGCCAACTTTGGTTTATTATCAAACCAAACTTCATAGGGTGTCTTCTTCTCCAAGACCCTTGTAGGTTGTCTACTCAATAGAGAGACGATTGTGTTTGCTGTTTCAGCCCAAAACTCCTTTGGCAAATTCTTCT